TTGAAAAACTGACTGTATACTTGGCTTGTCAAGAAATAGCCCACTTTCTTTATGGAAGCCAAAGATTCATCACTGAATTCACAAAAGCCTACCATAAGACTAACCTGAGCCAGCATCCAGTTTGCTCCACAGATTCCTATCTCCCAAAGGTCCATCTTAACGCCATCCCACCTACGCCAATGTCTCACCCACAATCTCCTCCCTTCACGCCTTCTAACCAATATCTTGTAAACTCCCCACCCCTCCACAATGCGCTCCGCAATCCATTTAGTGGAAAGAAAGAAAGAAATACTTTATGATATATCTGCAAAAACAACTGAATACTGTCATTTGTTTACATGACCGAGTGGCATGCCAGTGGGAAGCATCTACACTTTGTGCAGCTCACTGAATCAGTGTGAATTCTATCCTCACTCTCTCTATGGTGCAGGATATTCTTTGAAAAACTGACTGTATACTTGGCTTCTCAAAAAATAGAACACTTTCTTTATAGAAGCCAAAGGTTCATCACTGAGTTCACAAAAGCCTGCCATAAGACTAACCTGAGCCAGCTGCATCCAGTTTGCTCCATAGATTCCTATCTCCCAAAGGTCCATCTTAACGCCATCCCACCTACGCCAATGTCTCACCCACAATCTCCTCCCTTCAGGCCTTCTAACCAATATCTTGTAAACACCCCACCCCTCCACAATGCGTTCCGCATGTCCCGCCCGTCTTATCCTCCTCGATTTAATCGCCCTAACGGTATCAAGTGAGGGGTACAGTCCGTGAAGCTCATAATGCACTTTTCTTCCTGCCTCTTAGGTCGAAATATCCTAAACACTCTGTTCTCAAAGACCCTCAATCTATGTTCCTCCCTCAAAGTGGGAGACCAAGTTTAACACCCATACAGCACAACTTTTGTATCTTTAGTTTTCTTGATGTGAGATGAGAGGACAAAACATTTTGGACTGAATGATAGCAAGCATTCCCCGAGTCCACACCACACTGCTCAATTACAACTTCACTAGCATAGAATACGACCTGAATGATCCTCCGTTGCACTGAACAGAAAAACAACCCACAGCAGTATTATTTTTGCAGAAGCTGGATCTGCTTTCATTCCATGAGGACCAGCAGACTTTTAATTTCTTCCTCACTGCATGTACAGTGAACTAAACAAGTCAAGTGCGATGGAGACTGGCTATTATATTCGTAATAGACAAAGCACAGGCAGTAAAATGTGCCTTGCGTTAAGATATATGGACATGTTCAGCTGCGAAGGCAAGAAATGCATATAGGACTCTGGTGGAGAAATCTCTTGGAAAAGAAGCCACTTAGAGAAGTGAGTAAGAGATGAAAACACAGCAAGAAGATTGTGAGGTGGCTCAGGGTTGCATCCGAAGGCAGGCTTCGAAATGACCGATGCTGAACCTTGCGGTTATCCTCAAAAGAGTCTGCTTATCAAGACATAACCTCACTTACCCTGGCAGGATTGAAATCCCTGCCACTGAACACCTCAGCAGTAACACTAGACTCCATCACGGCAGACACGCCTTGCAACACGAGGAACGTCGGCAACGCAGAGAAGTCTGCGTGGCCTTCATACAGGAATCTCAGGTCACTTGGGTTGGTCACAGTGCTACCAACTGCAATAAAACAAACACATTACTTGTCTGTCACACTGTCACAAACACACGCACATAAGGGCACATTACTCACCTCCCAGTGCATACAGGATCAGGTCACGAGGAGTGTATTGGAACTTTGTCACAACACTCTTCTGGAAAGGAAATCAGGACCTTAAACCATGTTCACAGAATAAGTGTCACCAAGAAGACAAAAGAAGTTCAAGTCTGCAAAAACATTAGCCACCATCAATACTTGGATGGCAGCACCAGCCATTGCCAAAACTAATGTACACCTCATTTAACAAAATACTGGACCTCCAGTGGCGTAAGCCACAACTGAAGTAACGTAAACCACGTACTACAATTATGGCGACGGGCTAAAATCCTGTACACAATAAACAAAATTAATTCTGCTCATTCATACGTCTTATACTACACTCCCTCTATACACCTCCACTGGATGGTGCTTAGACACAGGGGTAACTTGAATAATTACTATCTGAAAGCATATGTAAAAAACTACATCGAGTCATAACTCACGCCATCAGAAGAAAGCCCAGAGTTCGACTTCATCTGCTCCAGAACGGTCATCAGGGTACCAGATGCCTCCTGGATGGACTCCAATTTAACGGCAGCAGACATATCTGTCACCTTGCCCCAGTTCTCACGTACAGCCTCTGGCGTCACCAGCTCATTCATCTGTGCACGCAGCAGGCCGCCCGGTGAACGCACCAGATAACCTGAAGGTTGTCAGACAAGAACGCATCCTGATGGAAAGTTCTGCCGACACTCAGCACGGGAGGTAAACGGTTCTCTGCTTGTCTATCATTACTGCGCTTCATGGCTATTCCAAGCTGTCTCACTGAAATCAGGACCCTTGAAACATGAATCCGGTCATTCTACCGCTGTTGACACATCTACGGAAGTCCACATGCAGATTCTGCGACTTATCTACGATTGTGATTTGCAGTGAAAAAATCATTTCTGCATTTCACTGAAAGAGCAACAACAGACCCAACCTTCATGACCCTAATGAAATGCAGTCCTGTTTTGGACGGCATCACATGACTCAGAACCAGTGGTGTCGTTACAGGCATCGAGCATATTCCGAACAGGGGTGCCACTGACCCTTACATTTTCCTGCCCAGCCAGCAGCAGACTCGATGATGGAGCCAGTCTCCTCACAGGATTCGTGACACAGCCACGCGACGACTGGCGCAATCAGCTCTGGGCGCAGCTGCGCAAAGAAATCTGTGCAACAAACAAGTGACTTATCAGTATCACATTAGTGTTTATAATCATGAGACAATATTAAAAACTGCTGATAACAGATCTCCAAAACATGAACTATTTATTACAACTGATAATATGACAAAAGGGTGAATATACTTCCAAAATGCACTGTTTGCATCATTTTGATGTTCATTTATTGTAAACAGAAGTGACACACTGTCAGGCTTTAGTATCAGCAGCACCCACCCGGTGGCAGGATGTCTTCAGTAAGCCGGGATGCCGCAGTTGGCACAATCACATTGCAGTGGATGTTGTCCTTCCTGCCCTCTATCGCTAACGTATTGTTCAGACCAACCAGCCCCATCTTGGCAGCACTGCAACCATAAAAAAAACATACATGGACTCCTCCCAAGAAATGCATAAAGCGGCCATCGCTCACACCAACTTTCTTATTTGAGAACAACTTTTCAGCCGCACAAATTACACAGTCCTGAAAGGAAGAGCGAACTGGAGAGGATGTAGAAGTGACCCTCGGTTATATAACACACTAACCCAGCATCTGTCTTGAGGAACTGTGGGGGAAAACAGTTTCTACCATTTCTGGCAACCAAAGACAAACTTTTATTTTTATAAATAACCAGAATGTTAAATCAATATTTCATAGGCGGGGGGGGGGGGGTATTGTAATTAATACTTTTAAATCCCAAAGATATTCAAAGCAGAACAGATTAATGTCCAAGATATCACGCACACATTATACAAATGATCAATCCTATGAAAGATAAATATACTGAAGTGTCACTAACACCGACCTGTAGTTTGCCTGCCCAAAGTTCCCATATAGACCAGAATTGGAGGATGTCACAATGACACGTCCATACTTTTGTTTACGGAAGTGAGGCCACGCGGCTCGAGTTGCCTTGAAAGCACCTGTTAGGTGTACGTCCTGAATTAAGCCTGCAACAGTAACAAATGATCATTAAACCTCAACAGCACTAGTAACTAGACAAAAAAGCATGCAAAACCATCCCTGAACTCAAGAAATCTACCATAGTCCCTTTTCTTTTGGCCTCCTATACAATATCAATAACAGTCAAAACAGCTCAGCATAGCAGACAGTATTTGTCAAGGTTTTCCTCAGCCTCTCTAGGCAAATGCCATGGACAGTCTCTTGAAACTGGTCAGAACCACAATGAGAATAGACGCTTGTGAATTTTAACTCTTTCAGAATTAGTCTCTGCAGAAAAATGATATTCCAATTTCACTGAACTATCAGACTTTAAGGTAAAATGGCCCCTGGGACAGCTACATAATATCCAGTCACTGGCGCTCTTAGTTTTCTGACTGACTGACTGTAGCAGTCCAAATACACTGAAAGTACCCCACAATCTGATATTATGGCCAAGAATAAGATTTAATCTCAAACATACTCCAGTCTGCGTCACTAATCCTGGAGAATGACTTGTCCAGGATGCCAGCATTGTTCACTACCACATCTACTCGTCCAAACTCTTCCAGAGCCGTCTGTATAATCTTCTCTCCATTCACCACAGAATCATAGTTGGCTACAGCCTTGCCACCTACCAGAAACAAAACAATCTACGATACAGATGCAATCCCGCGGTGCTGCGACTTCACCGTAAAACAGAAGTTGGAAAGGAAAGGGAATCAGACGGAGGTGGTAGAGGGGGACACAAGGAAGCAGTTTGTAAGAAGGAAGGAGAAAGAGAAGAGGTGAGAGGACAAACAAGAAACTTACATGCAAATGCAGTAGCAGCCAACAAGCATCATAATGCACTAAACCCACCTTTGTGCCGGATCTCTTCTACAACACTGTCTGCTGCACTGCTACTCTTCCCATCGCCATGGCGACCACCACCAAGGTCATTCACCACAACTGATGCTCCACGCTCCGCAAACAGCAGGGCATATGCTTTACCCAGGCCTGAAACATAAAGTCATGGCTGGTCAGAATTATGAGGAACTGGCACACAAGAAATGATAAGTGGGTGAAACGACACACAGAACTGTTCATTGCAAGAAGTTGTAAGCAAATGCCATGATTAATACGATTATGAGACAATGGAAACAGACAAATGATAAAAGAGAAGGGTATTAACTCACCTCTGCAGTGCACACATCACATGGCATGTGGAGTCTCATCATACTTTAATATTATCATGACAACTTTTATCCATGGAAATGGACACACACAAACTGGTACAATTAAAACTGGAAACATACTGTTGTAGCAGCCCACACCCTTCAATTTCATATTTTTGTCTTAACAAATGAGGGAAAGAACTATATTTTTTTTGTACAATATAGTCATTAATGAAGCTGAAACCGCGAAGACAAGAACGATAACCTAAAATAATTTCGACAAGAATTAAATATTTCCGAAAGAAAGTCTTGCATACTAGAAAAGCGATCAGGCACAAACATTATTTTCGTGTACGATAATCACCTGCACCAGCTCCTGTAACTACAACCACTCGGCCATCGAATCGCAGATCTGTCATGCTTAATAGGGCCCTACAGAAGTCCGAACCTGAAACAAGACGAAGTTACGTGACCAAACACACGGATAAGGTAGTACAAGTGCAAGATTAACCAGTACTTCGTACCTTGTTTACTTTCGTGTGTATAACTGCGAAGTCATCGTCAAGAAATAATGTAACCGTTAAAATTATAATACAACGCACAAATTGCTAAATCTTACTACGTACGATAAATCCGCCGCTGTCTAGTCGTAGACTCCAAGACACAATCCACTACCACGAGATCATCACAGTTTGTGTGCTTGTTTTTTCAGACCTTCGCATCAGATACGGCCAGTCTGCTGTCTGACATAACTGCAAAACCTCTGTACAAGAAATATGTACTGTACTTCAAAACAGGTTACGAAAGTGATCGACGCAATTTCGCTAGTCATTCTTTCCCATATCGATATATTTAGATTAATGCAGTGCTACCAATAGTATCAGTAGATCTAGCGAAAATGTTCGAAAGCAACAAATGGCATTTTACCTGTCTGAATGTAGAGTTCCCAAATTGAGATATTTCCTTGCCCTACTTTCACATTTTATACATTGTATCATAATATCCCATAGAAACTGTACTTACTGCTTTTATTTTTCTTAACTCATGTCACAGTTTTCCTGCCTATGTTATTAATACAGAAAAGAAACATGACTAACTTAAAAGCATGAAGTAACAAGGGGAATATGCTTACTGCCTTCATCACCAGAGAGATCGCCTAATAATGGTGTCAATTTATATTACACTACACTGCGCAATATCCCACAACGCTGTCATCTTCACACTCTTTTCACATGAGCATCTGCTCTACACAAGGAAGTTAAATCAGCAGCTAGGATGTGTCTTACTGAAGAACATTAGGAAAGAGCATGCAAATTGCAACAATGAAAATTAAATGTGATACTGAAAGCTGAATAAAGCTAAAGCAGTGTTAAATGTATTTTTTATAAATTACTATGATATTTTAATGTCCCCAGTCCAAGACTGTGGGATTTCATGTCAGTGACAACTTCAGATCAATTTATAAGATGTCACTAGTAAGATGGGATGTCTTAAAATTCAAGGTCGTGCAGACACATGTTCATGAATTTCTTATCTCATACCATCACACTGACAGTCCCGAGTTTCAGGCACACAAAGTTACAGCATAACAAAAGCATGCGAGTCACAGTAAGAATTGAGGTTCTCACAGTGGCGAGTACGAATATGACTCGTTTTCTGTGTTGTAATGCTACAACCCAGAAGGCAGCCATCTTCATGTGACTCACAATTTATTTATACTTTATTTAACGATGCTGTCACTAGCTGAGACTATATAATGTCGAGTGAGAGGATGATAGTAAACAGAGAATTGGAAAACATGTGGACAGAAGTGATCATGGCCTAATTTAAGGAACTATCCAAGCATTTTCTGGAGGGACTGAGGAAAACCACAACAAGCCTTCGTCACGATAGCCAGTCTGCAGGCCAAGATCTGCACCCAGGACCTGCCGAACATGTAGCAGGAGTACAAACCATTCAACTATGATGTTTTGTGTGATTCACAAGATACAATTTTATTACACATAATCAACATAAATGTATTCATGATTCTGATTTCACTTCTTTGGGTGCCTCCACAATCGGCTGTTCAGCTGCCTTCAGGGCTGGCACGCCTGTCTGAACGATGGTAACAACACGTTCTCCAGATGGCGGTGGGAGTGACTACAAGACAATTTCAAATGTAAGTTATAAAAAGTTTATTACACTGCAGTCTTGGTGCGTTCACTACTCTCGGACTTTACTCTGCTTTTGAAACTTGTGAGAGAATACGATTGAAGCCTAGATTGACTGAAGCTCTTCATGGTTTTCATCAAATCCTTCTGAAGACTCCTAGTATAATGAGTTGAAATATCTGATGGACCATGACAACTCTCCTGCACAGTCTTTACATTTCAGTGTTCAGAATTATACTGCCATTTTAAGGTACACACCAGTACAGGTGAATTAGAGTGATTAAATTAATATAAGAGAAACTGAATTCGTTATCTGTATTTTGTAAGGTATCAATTATAAGGTGCAAGAAAGGCATGTCATAAATATTTTAATTAATTTGCCCATTTTTCACATCACAAAGGAGGATGTTTTAATATACCTGTCAAGAATACAAATTTTTCCCATAATATTCATAAACAGAATTTCAATATAAAGTATCAGAATATTATCTGTAGGCCATGGGATTCCTTTAGCCTCTTTATTATTGACTTCCGTTATGCAGAATCCTTCTTGACGTCTGAGAATGTTTGCAAACAAAACGTGTTCCACCGTCTGTCAACAGTCAAAGCTAGCTAACTAACAAATTACTTTTCAATAACGAGGAATACTTTACCATGCACCTACAGAAGCTTTATCCAAATAAAAACTTGTGATGATCAAATAAGGTCTTAAGGTCAGGCAGTGATACCATACCTTCTTGGGGGCGGTGACAGTGAGGACACCATCTGATGACAGGCTGGACACAATGTTGCTGATCTCAATATCCGCTGGCAAGACGTAGCGACGCACAAAGTGGCGCGACACAAAGCCATGTTCATCCTGCTTCTCCTCGTGTCTGCCCTCAACAATGACAGTGCTGTCAAGCGTCTTCACCGTAATCTCACTCGGTGCAAACTGCTGTACGTCCAAGATCACCTGCGTAGGGATCTCATTTATTTGCAATTCCTAGCGGGTGTTGCTACATTCCTCAATAAATCCATATAAGGCCTCTACTTTCTAGATATTGCAACAGTGATCACATACTTTAGATCATGGTCTACTGGGTTCTGACACTGCGAAGACTGGTAGGCAGTTATCAACATTTCAGAGAAACATTCTACAGATGCAGTGTTACTCCAAAATGTGGTAACCACCCACCAGTCTACACAACTTCACACCCTACAAGAACAACATCTGAATTTTCACTGCCATGAGAACCTCAAATCTGAAAACACCTTTCAGTGAATTTTCTTGTATCCATGTTTGAAGCTCAAAGCCTAGGCTCAGGACTGAAGTTCTAATTTGAGAGTTTCTCATTTCATTTACAGACCAAAGCAGTTTCCTGCCAAGATACAAATAAGTCTGTGAGACTTGGGTAATTCATGAAACAATCATTATTTTAATAAAGCAGAGACTTTCGTTTGTGAAAACTTTCTAGTCATTTGAATGACTACGAATGGCACAGATGCTGTTTGATAAAACAGTGGGTCATCCATCCACTGCAAATATTCTTCATATACTCACCTATTCATCCATTCGCGCATTGCATTCACCGACACATAATCAACCAACGCGATGCTCACCTGGAATTTCTCCTTGTCGGCTGTGATGTTGGAGGAACCGCTGTCTTGCCGGGTGATATTTCTCCAGGGGCGGATGTACCCGGTGCGGAGCAGAGAACGCGGATGCAACAACTCGTGGTGCCTCAACCCTAACCCAAAATGCTGATCCAGCAGGCGGGAGGGTCGATCCAAATCATCCCACCAGTCATGAAACAGGAGTGGAACCAGTGACATCTGTCGAACACTGGACATGTGAACTTTCCATAGCAATGAACTCTGCGAGTCATACAGCTCACCTAGCACTGTTAGATCGGGGAGGATCAAGAGGGTTGCGACGTGTTGGGCGTGCAACTCACATGGGGAAATAAGCGTACAGAATTTTAGCGGGGACTCCTCTCTGGATACTGGTCATTTTCAAGACCAAGAAGATGGATCTTGGGGAAATAGTTGTGAGGATATGAGGTGGACGAAACTACTTCAGAGGCAAACTTTGGTAACTGATATGTTGAAAGTTCAAGTTCTTGTAGAAGATAAGAAATTAAACAAAACTCTCTCAATCTGAACAAGCATTAAGGCTTTGTAAAATAACATGAGTCAAAACTGGAGGATGCAACTAAATCTGGAGTACACACACACACACATATACATATATCACTTCAGTGCGGGAAACATAGAAATAACTCTGTTTATTGCAGGTTGAAGTGAGAGCCACCGGGTATTTACACTTGCAAGAATCTGTTTATATTAAAAACGAACAAAGTCACCAAATTCCTTCAATTCCTCCGCCCATTCCATATCGTATACTGGAATATTTTATTCACTGTGGCCTCGACATCAAATGGTAGAATGTTTAACAAAATATGGGCGGCACATCCTGTACCTCGAATGTTAATTTTCAAAATTTCTGGTCTGGGTTTGTTCCTCTCCTTGCAGCCCCTCCGAAGTTTGTGTTGCAGTTGTCCCCACAAAAGGCAATAATTTTGTCTGATAGCTTGTATTTACACAGTACATTCATTATGCATGTCGTTAAAACATCAGCGTTTCGCCTTCTAAGTTAAGGAATTCAATGACTTCAGTTTAAACTCTTTCTCTGGAGTATTTAGCTTCCCGTTTATTCCTTGTCGGGACAACGGGGCACCTCCCTCAAAAAACGGGACGTGTGGTCACTCTACTTTAAGGGGCAAGAAATTGTGAAATGAAAGTGAGGTTAAATTTTGACGGGGCAGGAGATGCCCCGAGCAAACAATTCCGTTTCTCACCACACAATCATTCGCCCTGAAGATGGAGGCAGTACGATCCTCAGAAACGTTGGTTTCTACCTGTCAAGTCCACACGGCGTTAAAACGCAGATCAGAAGACACGAGAACAGCAGTAACTAGCATCTGGTGCGAAGGCCACTCACCGTGCAGCGTCTGCTGTGTCGCTCCGCGTCTAAAAACTGCGTCGCACTTCGCCTGGCGTCGCCGTCGTCCCTCCTTATATACGCGTCCGGCTGGAGCGTCGTAGATTGTTCCAGACGCCCGCTGCAGCCTGCATGTGCGCCAGGCGTCTAAATTTGGACGCGCCGAATACGGCGTCACCTCTGACTCACACACAGAATGTTCACAAAGGCGTGTCCCTGTAATCCGGACCGGCGGGCCTTAGTTTGCACACCCCTAACATAGGATGCATGTGAGGGACCAGAGACTGTTCGACTTGGAAAAAAAAAGTTAGAAAGGCAGCGAAGTAGCACGCCCGCCACACACTTGAAACCGCAGACCGTCTTTCCACTCCAGAAACCAGTGTTCGGACCAAAACCTTAGAGCTGTTGGTTGCATTACGAAAGCAAACAGAAATATCATCATGAGGCACAGCTCCACGTATTCCTGACCACTTAGGGCCGCTTTTCTGCTGTAATGAGTGGCCCAGAGGTGACCGGACCTCGACCCAGGAGCGACGAAGAGACCCCTTATCAGCCGTTCACCATCGTTCATTCTGTACACTCCGCGTCTGGAGGCCGTCTCCTGCGTGTGGGCGTTTGGAAGAAAATAAGTTTTGTTTCAGATGTTGCCTGGCCTGGCGTGGACTTCCACTGACGACAAAAACCTGTGAATTTTGAACAAATACTGAAACGATGTAAAAATCTGATTGAAGGTGGTTTCTTAAGTAACCACTCTACGTCAATGGGTTTAGGTTGGAATATCGGCGTGTCGACAGAATGTAGTCGGAGGAATTCTTGTCCAAGTGCGTCCACAAATTACCAACAGACAGCAAGCAAGGAGCAATCTGTTGGCAACAGAAGCGGCAACACTGCGACGCGGAGCTCTGGACCACTTTCACCCCGACACGAGCGCAAGAATGGCACAAGGCGACCAGTTTCGCGCGTAAACAACTTTTTGGTTCCATGACTAAACAGCACACGGGAAAATTCTCACACTGACGAACGCCCACATTCACAATACTATAAAGTAATCAGCCGCGTTAACTGGTTACCGTAGTAAACCGACGTTTCGGGAACAAACTCTGTCCCCATCTTCAGGGTTTGTTCCCGAAACGTCGGTTTTACGTGGGCAAGGAACTGAGACAATTGTCTGGATGTCGGATCTCGCGTGGTGGCAGATTTTGAGCAACTTCAATTCTATCTCCGATAATGACAATGACTTCGTGGATTCAAACTTGTTACCCTAAAATATGAAGCCAGCGAATGTGAACATTTGCCAAGTGAACTCTGAAAACCAGAGATGAGCTAAATGTGGAGCGGAGAATTTCCCGAAGCGATGCCTACCGACGCCAGTTCGCGTTCAGTTTCATCAAAATCCGTTCAGCGCTGTGGAGGGCAGCAACCCGAAAGTTCGCTACGCGGGGCATTCTCCTCCTGAGCCAGCTTTATCCACACAACCTACTTCCCTCGCCGGCCCGCGGTAAATTCGAGTAAAGATTCCTGTTAGTCCCCGGGTCTGGATTAATCGAGCAGGGCGAGTTATTAAGCGAACGACCAACATTCCGTAATTCTTTGGCAGGCCCAGCCCTCGCACAACGCCGAAGGCCAGATCACAAATAGCGGTCAAGGTCAGGGAACCGTCTCCATGGAAACAACCGACAGTCGGAGAGACCCAGAAAAACGACTGGCGGCATTTCTCAGGAGCTACAAGAAAGGAATTAGCACGTCTCTCGAGCAACTGACAGTTGCCTACACTTCCGCGAAGGATCATCACCGCATTCCCCAGAAGCTGAGGTCCGAACTCCATCCGAATTAAATTCAGACACTGTGTAAGTTCCACGTATTGAGATTAAGCAGATGTAATATGAGAGCGCCCTCACAGCTCGCAACGCCTCCTGTGATAACAGTTTCCTTATGATGTCATCGCCTGTAACGAGATCACGTGTGAGGTCGCACTCATAAAGAGAATGACATCACGCCACCTTCTTTGATATTATACATAAACATCATGATCCCAGGGCGCGTGATCAGGTTTCATGAACTTCCGGCGTTAACTTTATCTTGTCTTGAGACTGAATAAAACTCTTCATATTATTATCTACAAACTGACAATCTTCAGCTATTTCAATCTGCCCGCCAATCCTACGAAATACTACCAACGTCTGAGGAAGCCGATTACCAACTTTACCTCAGGCACTTCCAAGCGTATTACAACTGCACGACGCACCTTCACATTCTCCCGCCCGCAGTTCACAATCTTCTGTTTCCCGTCTCCTCTCTAACAACGAATGTTTCCTACTGTTTTGTATGGGTGTGAAACCCGGTCTTTCACTTCAAGCGAAAACACAGACTCGGGGTGTCTGAGAAGAGAGCGCTGAGGGTAATATCTGGACCCGAGACGGATGAAGTGACAAGAGCGAGGAGGAAACTGCGTTATAAGGAGATAAGAATTTCGTTCAGAATTTGACTAGCCGACCGACCGAGGGCTGAAGATGGACTCTGCTCCATGCAGCTCGTTCTGGTCAGACTTTTACATCGCCAAGGATGCTGCAATCAATAGGCGTTCGGTGTAACCCAGTTATCGGCAACGTAGTCTGAAATCGGTTGTCAGCTTTACTGCGGGGCGTGGTGGCAACTTAACTTTCACAGAATACATTTTTATACGCCAAGGAACGGGGTCCTGCTCGATGCCTGACAGTCACGAAATTTGCAGGACTCATAAGTTCACTGTCGCTTTCATAAATGCCAGACTTAACCCTCTAAATCCCGAAGCTCGCCTAATTAGACAAAAGTGGTTAGTTGTTTGCGTTTTTATAATACAATATAACGTCTTCTAGACTTAAACACGTCATGCAATGAATGGATTATTACCAGGTTTTTGCGATCTACTTCCCTAGAAACTGCACCAGCGTCTGACATGAGATATTTTCTCAACTCTTCTCTTATCTCGCCTCCTGCTCGAGATAAGGAGTGCGTGTTTGGTGGCGTTGTTTCCACGTCATTACTGAAGTGATAGAAAGTTTTTCCAGATTTTTACTAGGAATCCATCGCGTAACAGGCGACTAATATCAAATCATCACATGTCTCCGGCAAAATGTTTATGTGTGTATAAAACACTCAAAATACTTGGCAAATCAACCCAAATGCATTTTCCGATACCCTTCCGGCACGACAAAGGCGATAATTGAATGTCTGTTCAGTTACGTTATTCTTTGCAACTTCATCAGATACGCGTCGAGACCCGATGCTTCGCCTGAAAGTTAGAAATGGTTCCCGGAAGGCACTCAGGACCCGGAAGATTAAAGTTATTTCCAATAATCACCTTCTTTGCCATATGCACCGACGTCGACCGCAATAAACTTGTAATTAGCGTCCACGATGGCTAAAAGAACGATAGAAAAGAAAGCTTTGTAGTTGAAAGAGATTGGCTCCAACGGCGTTCGGAAAATTCCATTTTATCCAAAATTCGTTTGAAATGCGTTGAAACTCTCGTTGCGTAGGTTCAGGCATGAGTTGAGGTACCAACTTGTTTCTTAGACACCTAAGAACCTCTTTCACGATTGGTGAAATATGACGCGCTGATATACGGTAAGCAAACGATAGTGAAGCGTAACTTTCGCCAGTCGCCATAAATCTGAAGGGAAAAAATTGTCAATCACTCAATAAGTGATATCGTACACAAAGAACACGCACACGAAAATGGGCGTATTTTCTCATTTCAGATGGAGACTGTAGAAAACGCTGGAAGTATATACGGGATTCATACAATCGATTTAAACGCAAAAGAAAAATGTCAACCGGATCAGCTGCACCACCGAAAAATTCTAAGTGGGATTTTTTCAAGAGACTCCAATTCTTAGAACCGGTTTCAACAGAAAGACCTACTGCATCTAATGTTGAGTCAGATTCAGCGGCAAACGCACAGTTTGAGACTCGGACTGAAAACAGCGAAGGTTGTCCAGATGAAGCATCGCAGTCCTCTGTACCACAGCCTCCACGACGAAAAAGACGCAACAACAATCATGATGATATTCTTGATAATCTCGTGCAACAGTTAAGTGCCAACACTGATACAGAAATTGAAGACGAAATTGCTTCATTTGGGAACCACGTAAAGGCTCCACGTTTGAAAATACAAGCTAACATTTTAAGTCACTATGAAGTGATTCAGATGGATATGCGAGGAGCAACATGGGATGTCCAACCCAAGTTCATCTGAGGTATTCTCCTATAAGAACTGCCTCGACCCCCGAACCAACCAACATCACAGAATGAAGACAATTGTCATTACATTTGTGACATAATTAGTAATAATACAATATAAGAAACTTAACCGTAACGTGAGCGACAGTTTTTGTTGTTTGTATGTTTTTCCTATTAAACTCAGTGCGTAACCAAACTGCTTTTGATTCAATCTGAAATAACTCCTGAAACTTTCTTCTTCTAATGATAAATGATTCTTTATTAACAGACAGAAAGACCCTTCTTCGCGTCTGGTTTTGAATATTGAACTCGTAGGTTTTCTTTCTTTCTTTCTTTCTTTCGCAACAAATAACACAGCAACACATCTTCTTCTTCTTCTTCGAGTAACCTTTTTAGAAGCATTTTTATACTCATTTTTCACAGAATATGTGCACGCGTCTCAACAAAACAAACACTTTGCCGCATGTCTCGGTCGTCACCTCAAAAGTGAGTGGCGGGAAGCTGCGATGAGTCCGTCTCTGTCGCGTGCAGCCAAATTGTACCTTAAGAAGACCCCATAAATATAACTGCAGGTGGTACATATAGTTACCACTGTGCTTCAAAGAGTTAAATGCATCTAAAAATATTTGAGACACGACCTGCAGTTTAACATTCCGTGATAAGAGAACTTTTCCATCACAGTGATCGTGTCGACAGCCATAAAATGCAGACGTCCTCTTCAGGAAATTCTGCCACGAGCTCTCGTACCGGATCCTGCCTGAAGCAAGAAATCGCCGCGTGAACCAATTACTTAGGTCAAGGCCAGCGGAAATCAGGCAGAGCCGTGCGTGAGACGACGCAGCTGCGATAATGATAAAACCTCCTCGTGATTATCTTTTTACAATTCAACGGATTACACAGCGTCGAATGAGAGGAAGACAATGAATAATGAATTAGAAAGGATGTGGAAGGAAGCGGTCGTGGCCTAATTTACGGTACCATCCCGGAATTTGCCTGAAGGGGCTGAGATAGCCGGGCTCTGAGCCGAGATTTTAACCCGGGACCTGCCGAACACGAAGCAGGCCTTTAACAGAACCCCGAGGATCAACAGAATCCTCCGTCTGTCCTAGTGCCAAGCCACACGGATCCAGTCCTCGTACTCGCAACTTATTTCCATAAAACCAACCTCAATGGTATCCCCCATCTCCTTCTTGATCTTGCAAGTTGTCACTTTGCCAGAAACATCCTTGCTGTAAGTGAGATTTCAGCTTCTCACAGCGGCAAGTAATCTAGTAGAAACTGGCCGACGTTTCAGAGGTGCTTATTACCTACCATCATCAGGGCGATGAGTGCCCAATGATGCAGGAAGTAAGCACCTCTGAAACGTCGGTCAGTTTCTACTGTATTATACGGCGCGACATCCCGGAGAATTTTCGTCTTAATATTGCAACTCTGACACCAGATTCAATCGACCTACGAGTCCAGTCCGTCGAAACCTTTCACTGCATCAGCACAGCTGAGTGCGATGATGAAACCATTAATTCATTTTATGCGCTCGACTACAGACGACCGACGCCAGCACCGGAATATTCCAGAAGATAAATGCGATGTGGCGCAGCCTCGCGAAAAGTTCAATCAACTGCCGCTTTTACGGTGACACTTCCCCGGAAAATGAATTTTCACGGTTCGCCTTTCTGCGGCGGCAACTTCTCCCACTCCATTGCAGTGAGTGTAGCCTAAACACAAGGCTCATTGGACGCCTTCTAAAACGTTTACATGACGCCGGGATCTGATGTTACGACAGAAAAATTAATTATAAAAGTACATATTGAAGACCTTAAATCTTAAACCCAAATCCTGTTCGGACCATCGGACGTTTCGTAAGCAATTTCACTGACAAAATCAAGAGTTATGAAATACCGAGAACACGAAGACCGCCGTAAATTGTTGCAAACTCGGGCAGTCATAAACGGAAGATCATCGCGAAACAAAAACATCAAGAATGGCGCGAGAAGCCAACGGCTGTTTGTTGTCCGGAGGCCACGGGGCGCGGCGGGCGACTCCATGGCAACGCGAGGTCACCTTGAAGAAAGCGAACCGGTTCTGCGGTAACCCAGAAACGACTGTCGACCGAAAGCGACGCGAGTAGAAATGAAAAACGGCTCTGGTTATAATATTTGCATTTTATACACCGGGGCATCCTCTCACAGGCGCATCCGGGTTCGGGGTGCTGACGTTTCGAAAGATTTACAAATTCTTCGGAACACTACTGAAACACAGGAAGTGTATTCAAAATACACCTGTCATTTGTACACTGATTAAATCAAGGATAGAGGCGAGTCGTCGGACGTGTAGAACGCGTGTAATAGGTGAAGTCTGCACTTCCAGGGGCAACAATCACGACTGAAAATCTGCTCATTTCATTCACCGATCGCAGTTGATACAAGAACTCTCTGTGCCGATGTGAATGACACGACCGGCGACTGTCGGCGAGGAAGCGAGGCTCGAAGGAAGGCGCGAAGCATCGTTTCAAGATTAATATTGTAGGCGGGCACGAACGCCTCTGTCAGCCGGGGCAGATTTGCTACTCACTAATCCACTCGAGTAGTGAGTAATCCATTCAGCCGCGTAGTAAACCAAGAAATCAGTTAATAAGCGAGTCAAGCATTGGAGCTAGCCACTCAGTACGAAATCAGTTCACCCTTTGAAGCCCGAAGTTCGTCTAAACAACATTTAAGAATCCAGTCCGTACCGCGAAGAAAACACAACACTTCGCCATTACAAAGATCGACTGGTTAACCCGTGAAGCCGAAGATCGTCTAAATATTATTTAAGAATACGGCCCGTACCGCGAAGAAAACACAACTCTTCACCATTACGA